TGCCAGTAATCCCAGTGGCTCCGGAGGCTAAGGCAGGAGGATCGCTATTTCATAGCTAGCCTCAGCAAAAAGTGAGGCACTAAGCAACTCAGTGAGAACCCTGTCTCTAAATAAAATACAAAATGGGGCTGGGGATGTGGCTCAGTGGTCAAGTACCCCTGAGTTCAATCCCTGGTACCAAAAAAAAAAAAAAAAAAGAAAAGAAAGAACAAAAGAAGTAGACCCAAATATTAGAGGGAAATACTACATTCATCGTTTAGGAAATGACAATATTATAAAGACTTCCCGAATTAGTGAATTTACTTTAATTTCCACTTAAATCTTAGCAGGAATTTCTGGGAACTTGTAGTTGGAACCTAAAATTCACGTGGGAGATTGAAGAGCAGAGAATAGCCACAACAACTGTTTCTTTCTTTCTTCCTTTTTTTTTTTTTTTTGTGGGGGGGGGGCGGTGCTGGAGATTTGGTGCTTTCCACTGAGCTATACTCTCAGCCCTTTTTATTTTAAATTTTGAGACAGGGTTTCAGTAAGTTGCTGAGTCTGGCCTTGAAATTGATCCTCCTGCCTCAGCTTCCAGAATTGCTGGGAATCAGGCATGCACCACCACACCTGGCTAGCCAAGACCATTTTGAATAATAACAATAAATGGTAGACTTCTTGTGGTTGATAGCAAAATTTAAAGCTGCATGGTACTAAGGTAGGGGGAGAGAGAGACAGTGATGAAACAAACAATAGAAGCCTAGAAACAAACCTAGGTACACATGCAAGCTTGCTGTGTGAGAGAGGTGGTATTGTAAACCCACCAGGAAAGGGTGAGCAGTTCAGTAAATGGGCTGGGCAATTGGCCACCCGAATGGAGCAAGATTATAAGAAGAGAGCTGGTTCCAGGCTTTCCAAACTAATTCCAAATAGAGGAAAGACTAAAAGTAAACAGAACTATAAAATTTGTAGAAGAAAATGAAAAAGTCTTTATGATGATAGTATTGGGAAGGGATTCCCAAATAATTCATACATACACAATCATGAAAGGAAATAGGTGATAGATTTAAATACATTAAAGTCAAGAACTATCAATCGAGGAAATGCAAGTCAAATTGAAGTGAGATACCACCTTGTGTACAGTAGGGTTGTTATAATAAATGAGTGTTGGCAACATTGTGGAGAAATTGGAACATTTTTACACTGCTAGTGAAATGCAAAATAGTGCAACTGCTTTGGAAAAGAGCCTGGCAGTTCCTCAGAAGATTAAATAGACCTTGCAGTGGCGCTTCTAGGTCTGTAGCCAAGAGAAATGAAAACCTATCCCCACAAAAACCTTCACACATGTTCATAGGATTATTTACAGTAGCTGAAAAGTGGAAACCCAGACATTCACCATCTAATGAATGGATAAACAAAACATGTACAAGTTAGAGATCTTGTTCAGTGGAATATTTTTGGCAGTAAAGGAATACAGTATCGTTGTGTGCTACAACATGGATGAACCTTGAAAACATTAGTCTAAGTGAAGTCTAATTGCATTTATTTGAAATGAATGGGCAGATCTAGAGAGATGAGGAGCATCATTAGTGGTTGCTTCAGGGCTAAAGGAAATGTGGATTGCTGTAAAGGGTATGGAGTTTCTTTAGTGGGTGATAAAAATGTTTGAAAATTATGATCTCTCCATACTCGTGATGGTTGCCCAAATCTGTGAGTATATTAAAAACCATTGAATTGTATACCTCAGATGGGTAATTTATATAGTCTGTGAATTAGAGATATCTCTAATAAAGCTATTTTTAAAAAGTCAAGAACTCTTTATATGACAAGGCATATCATAAATCATATTAAAGAAAATCCAGAGACTATAAAATTGTTAAAGATTCAAGAGGGGCTGGGGTTGTGGTTCAGTGGTATAGTGCTTGCCTGGCATGTATGAGGCAAATGTGGGTCAGTGGTCAGTACAATCCCTGGCACCACATAATAAATAAATAAATAAATAAATAAATAAATAAATAAATAAATAAAGGTATTGTCCATCTAAAACTAAAAAAAAAAAAAGCATGTAAAAAACATAAAAGGGGGGCTGGAGTTGTGGCTCAGTGGTAAAGCACTCGCCTGGCACATGTGAGGCATTGGGTTTGATCCTTAGCACTACATAAAGGTAAGTAAATAAAGTATTGTGTCTCTCTACAACTTGCGGGGGAGGGGGCAGGGGCTGGGGGGGGCAGTAGTAAATGACCAAACCATTTAGGCAGTTCACTTTTGAATGGACCCAAAAGGGTGATAAAAAAGTGAAGAGGTCGCTGGGCGTGGTGGAGCACGCCTGTAACCCCAGTGGCTTGGTAGGCTGAGGCAGGAAAATCAAAGTTCAAAGCCAGCTTGGCAATGGCAAGGTGCTAAGCAACTCAATGAGTCCCTGTCTCTAAAAAAAACAAAAACGAAAAAGGGCTGGGGATGTGGCTCAGTGCCCCTGAGTTCAATTCCTGGTTTCCCCCCACCCCGAATAAAAAGGAGGTGCTGGGTTTCTGGAGGTGAAGTTTAGAGTGATATATACCATTTTACATCCATCTAGTTGGCTCAACGTGGTACGACAGAGCATCAAGGCTCAGCACAGGTATTGGGAAATAGAGCAGGCCTTTTAGAGATGGTCTCACTGAGTTGCTTAGTGTCTTGCTTTTGTTGAGGCTGGCTTTGAATTTGAGGGTCTTCTGCCTCAGTCTCCCGAGCTCTGGGATTACAGGTATGCACCACTATGCCCAGCAAGCAAGGCCTTTAATTGCATGTTCTGGGTGGGGGAAGTGTAACCTGGGACAACCTGCTTATAGAGCATTCTGGATCATATCAGGTCAGGTTGAAGGGGGACCCTAACTCCATGAATGACTGGAACTAGAGCCATTCTAGTACTCATTGTAAGTCCCTTTGTGGGTGAAACAGTGGGAAGAACCTAGCTGGGATATTTCTTTCTGTCCAGCCATCTATTCTGTAGTTGAATTATCTCAGCTAG